CCGCGCACACCCGCGCACACCCGCGCACACCCGCGCACACCCGCGCACACCCGCGCACACCCGCGCACACCCGCGCACACCCGCGCACACCCGCGCACACCCGCGCACACCCGCGCACACCCGCGCACACCCGCGCACACCCGCGCACACCCGCGCACACCCGCACACACCCGCACACACCCGCACACACCCGCACACACCCGCACACACCCGCACACACCCGCACACACCCGCACACACCCGCACCCCTGCACCCACACCCACAACCACACCCAGGCACGCACGCACCCACGCACACACCCACGCACACACACACACACACACACCTACCTCACTCACTCACTTACTCAGAGACAGAGAGACAGAGAGACAGAGAGACAGAGAGACAGAGAGACAGAGAGACAGAGAGACAGAGAGACAGAGAGACAGAGAGACAGAGAGACAGAGAGGCAGAGAGGCAGAGAGGGAGAGAGAGAGAGAGAGCGACAGACAGAGAGAGAGAGAGAGAGAGCTGAGAGAGAGAGAGAGACAGAGACACAGAGACACAGAGACACGGAGACACAGAGACACAGAGACACAGAGACACAGAGACACAGAGACACAGAGACACAGAGACACAGAGACACAGAGACACAGAGACACAGAGACACAGAGCCACAGAGACACAGAGACACAGAGACACAGAGACACAGAGACACAGAGACACAGAGACACAGAGACACAGAGACACAGCGACACAGCGACACAGCGACACAGGGACACCGGAGACACGGAGACACGGAGACACGGAGACACGGAGACACGGAGACACGGAGACACGGAGACACGGAGAAACGGAGACACGGAGACACGGAGAAACGGAGACACGGAGACACGGAGACACGGAGACACGGACACATACGTACATACATACACACTTACATACATACGTACGTACGTACGTACATACATACAAAGGATCCTGAGCCAGAACCCGTCAACCAAGCAACAGCGGGCAAGGGCCCAACCTTAAACCTTAAACCTTAAACGCTAAAAACCCCAAACCCGAGACCCTAAAACTCTCAACCCTATACCTCAGCCCTCAAACACCCCTTAAACGCTAAACCCTAAACCCTAAACCCTAAACCCTAAACTTCAGCCCTCAACCACCCCTAGACATGCCCTTTGCCAGATCCAAGCAGAGCATCTTCGGAGCTTATTCTTCAAGTTGGATCGGGACCGCCTTCGGGTTCGTTGGGCTTGGGGTTGAGGGTTTAGGGTTGAGGGTTTAGGGTTGAGGGTTTAGGGTTTAGGGTTTAGGGTTTAGGGTGTAGGGTTTAGGGTTTAGGGTAGTTTAGGGTGTAGGGTTTGGGGTTTAGGGTTTAGGGTTTAGGGGTTTAGGCGGGTTTCGGGCTTAAGAGTTTGAGGTCTATGCCAAGTTGGAGTAACTAAAGCAAGCCTTTCTTTTTTGAAGGTCAGGTAGCTCATTTGGAACAACCCCCAAACCCTAGACCAACCTGAAGCAACGGGCGCGCTTCTTTGTCTTGTTGCGTTTTTTCTAACTGTTTATGAACAAAGGTTCCATGCTTAATGATCCTCCTACGCAGGGAGAGGGGCATCCTCGTTGCAAGCAGAGCTGTATGCGCCCCAAATTCGGCGCTGAGTCGCATGGCTTCGGCTGCAAGGCCCCCAACCAAGTCCCTGAACTGACTGAAGTTAGTATAGTTTTGGGTGTAAACCCTGTCTCGTTGAGGATTAGGGTTTAGGGTTTAGGGATTAGGGATTAGGGTTCAGGGTTTACGAATACTTCCCAAGAACCTCCCTGAGTACCCGGGGCTGACTGAACGGGACGTAGACGTTCGGGACCGGAGCCTACCCCCCAAAAGCCGAACTAAACTGAATCCTACAGCACCAAAATCTGTAGCCTAAACTACCGAAACCCTAAACTTTGCCCGACATATGACTACTTTCGAACCGTATTTGGTGGCCCTACATATAATCAATCCCTCAAGGGGTTGTGTGGGGGGGGGGCAGGGGGCCCGGACTCTCAGATTCCCACTTCTGAAGTGGTAAGGGTCCTTCCTTGCTGGACCTTGAACACCCTGGTGATCCTTGAATCTCGTGGGCTTAGTATCTAGGGTTGACTTCAGGTATACAAAATGGTCCCGTTGTTTTTGACACAGTCCCAAAGTCCCCTTAAACCTGGTAGCCAGTAGTACCCTAAAAAATATGACCTTTCAAGGGAGTCATACTCGGACCCCTAAGCCCTAAACCCTAAACCCTAAACCCTAAAGAGGTTCCCTGAATATTTTCCCATTGTGGCCCTTAGCTTGGCTTAGAGGATCTTGAGAAAGGGTCCACAAACCCTAGGGTACAACCTTGGGGGGCCCGATGTAGAGTCCGCTGAACCCTAAACCCTAAACCCTCAACCCTCAACCCTCGACCCTCAACCTTCAATCCTCAACCCTCAACCCTCAACTCTAATCCGGCCAGCTTCCTTTTTGCAGCTGAGGCTCCAAGTGTAAGGTTCAGAAGGTTCATGCGATCTCATCAGGGCCGCCGTCGTACTTTGAGACTTTGACACCCTGCCACACAGGGAACTCAAGCTATGGAGCCTCAAGGTTTAGTGTTTAGGGTTCAGGGTTTAGGGTTTAGGTTTAGGGTTTAGGGCTGCAGGCTGTCGTGTTAGAAGCTCGCGCCATCGCCATGGCAAGCCGGTGCCTAAGGCAGGTGCTTGCGCTGGCGCTCTTCCAGTTCAGTGCTGGTCAAACCACGAAGGCAAGTCTAGGGCAGCTTGGACTGCTTGGACCCTTTAGGTTCCTAAGGGTTTAGGGTTTAGAGTTTAGGGTTTAGAGTTTAGGGTTTGGGGTGTAGGGTTTAGGGTTTACACGGGCCCTTCATATGGTCCCTTACCTCATTTAAAGGGTTCTGAAATATGGGCCTTGCGTTGTCTAGGGTACATAAGGGGCAAATAAGGGGGGCGGGGGGGGGGGGGGGGATTTGGGCTTATAGGGTAGGGTTCAGGAGTTCAGGGGGTGCTAACCCCCAACCCCAAAATTCCGGGGTGACGACTCTGAAGTCCAACATACATGTATATATATATATATGTATATATGTTTTTTAGAAGCATGGTTTATACTACTTGTATCCCCCACTCACCAAAATCTACAATGACCCCGAAATACACTCAGCAAGAACAGTATAGCATAAACTCTGCATCAAAAATATAAACGTGTATAAGCATGTCGGTAGCATTATTCGAACCCCCCCCCAAAAAAAGACCACAACCTAGAGAACCCCCCATTCAATAGAGTTAATTATAAGGTCCTTAGATCGCAGTCACTCCGGGAGGAAGTATTTCTTGGGATATTCCCCCTTATGCCACCAGGCCTGAACCGAGATTTTTCGTACTTCCTCTATAAAAGTCGGTTTTAAGGGCTGCTAGTATAAGGGGGCACATCACAAGGTATTTCTGGCAAACCCCTGAGCCTTACGTAGGACCCTCACTGGTCTTTATGTTTGAAAGGTCGAGTCAAAAGGGTTGAAGGCGTTTAGTTTCAGTCGACTTTGGAACGGAGTTCCCAGAAACGGCTTAGGAATGAGGGTTTAGGTCTTTTCTTAAGCAGACGCACTCAAACCCGAGACCCTCAACCCTCAACCCTCAACCCTCAACCCTAAACCCTAAACCCGAAACCCGAAACCGAAATCTTAAACCCCAAGCAAAGGATTGGATCAGGCAGCAAGTTTGATTCCATTTTCGACACTGCCGATGCCGACCAGGACAAGAGGGGGTTTCCCTTTAGCCCTTTTAAGGGTTAAGGGTTAGAGTGTAGGGTGTAGTGCCTATTCGGGTTTATTAGGTTCACTTCAAGGCGTTTTTGGGGGGGTTTTGAAGCGAATGTTTGGGGTTTAGGGGGCCTCTTGTGGTTGTTTAGGGTTTAGGGTTTAGGGTGTCGGGGCTTATTGGGTCGTATGGGGGCGTGTAGGGCACGGCTTATCCCAAACTAGGCGTGGGATGTTGAGAGCATCAATCCGTAAGGTGCAGTGTTTGGGGTTCAGTGGGGAGTTTGGAGTTGTTCCCGAGCTCCTCACACTCATGCTGAGCCCCAGACCCTAGACCCTTAAACCCTAGACCCTAGACCCTAGACCCAAAACCCTAAACCCTAAACCCTAAACCCTAAACCCTAAACCCAAAGCGGCAAGGATGGCGCGCTCTCTCAAGGGGAGATGGCGGCGTTCACTGAAGCCGGCGAAGAGCTCATACGCGGCTTCGCTGTCATGAAGCCATTTGAGGTGCTTTGGTCGGCACATTAGGGTTTAGGGTTTAGGGTTTAGGGTTTAGGGTTTACGGTTTAGGGTTTAGGGTTTAGGAGCCACACTCCTAGAACCCTAGAGTCCTTAGACCCTAACGTTTAGTAAGCTTCATACTCTGCTGGGGGGGAGGGGGGGTCTGAGAGCGTGACCCCTGAACCCTGAACCCTGAACCCTGAACCCTAAACCCTAAACCCTAAACCCTAAACCCTAAACCCTAAACCCTAAACCCTAGCCCTAAACCCTAAGCCCGAAACCCTACCTGAGCCCTCCCAAATTCCCAAAGTCAGAGACCATGAGGTGGTCTTCTTCTCGGAGGCGGACTGCATGGGGCAGAACCGCACCGCGGACAGCTCTGATAACGACGCTCGGTCGGGTTTATGGGTTTCGGGTTGAGGGTTTACGGGTTAGGGTTCAGGATTTAGGGTTCAGGGTTCAGGGTTTAGGGGGTTCAGGATTTAGGGTTCAGGGTTTAGTGTTTAGGGTTCCTAAGCCCTAAACTCTAAGGCATTCTTGAAGACCTACGTTCCCAACCGTCAAACCCCGAAAGCACAATCTCTAAAGCCCGAAAGCCCTAAATCCTCTAAGAGCCGAAAGCACTCGAGCCCCAAATTCTCAAAGAGCTAGGGCTTTGGGTTTTTTTTGGAGTTCGTAGCTTTGGAGCTTGGGATGTTTCCCCGTTTCTTCTAGCAGTCCTTAATAGGGAATATGATCGGGGATACTATAATCCTTATGAAGGATTGTTGGTATAAGGGGGAACATCTCAAGTTTTTGTTCCTTCGGTTTAGGGTTGGAAGGCATGCTTCTGAATGTTTCGATGCATAGGCTGCTGACATGAAAGCCTTTGCGTTAGGGCTCCTACCGGCACCCTGAACTCATACTGCTGCCACATAGAAGGGGTTTAGGGTTTAGGGGTCAGGGTTTAGGATTTAGGGTTTAGCCTCTAAGGCCCCTAAGAAAGTAAGCATTATGGATGCATCGCCCCCTTCAGGAAACCCGATGCTCAGCTTGCTTCGACGCCTGCGGCAAGACTTTCGCCGGAGGCTGGTGCAGAAAGGGTTGTAGGGTTTAGGGTTTAGGGTTTAGGGCGTCTTGAGGGTTTGGGGTCTAACTTTTGAGGGGTCAGGCCACCAAGAAGCCCTACACGTTAAATTGCTGCCTTCCACGGGACTCGTTGGGATGTGAAAGCTACGTGCTAGTGAACCCCCCGCCCAAAAAAAAAGTGACGAGTTAGGGGTTCGGGCTTAGGATTTAGGATGCGCAGAAGTACCCCATTTCGGCTATTTGGGTTAGGACTCCCCCATGGCAAATCGCGAAGGCTTCAGGCATCTTGAGCATAACAAATATGTTTAGACACCAGCACGGGAATGAAGACACAACAAGCACAAGCAACACTACCAACCCAAAAGGAACTCGCAGGAATCCCAGAGGTCTAGGTAGGCCCGCTGAGATATCCTCAAAAACCGCAAAACCGCAAAACCCGTGACCCTGTAATCCCTACAGCCTTACAAGCCCAATAACCCTAAACCCTAAACCCTAAGCCCTAAGCCCTAAGCCCTAAGCCCTAAGCCCCAAGCCCTAAGCCCTAAGCCCTAAGCCCTAAGCCCTAAGCCCTAAGCCCTAAGCCCTAAGCCCTAAGCCCTAAGCCCTAAGCCCCAACCCTAAACCCTAAACCCTAAACCCTAAACCCCTTTCCGAGGTGCCGCCATGGCGGTGCTGAGCACCAGCGACGTGACGGGGGTGGACTCCAAGGCGCCCTCGGATTGTACGGGTTAGGGGTTTAGGGTTTATAAAGTTTAGGGTTTAGGGCTGCTAGGGGTTGTAGACTTAGGGTGAAAGGTTCTGAAGTTTAGGGTTTACGTCTTTTTTCATCCCGAGCATCTCGCAGAAACCCCAACAGACGGCCAAAGCGAAGTTATCTGAAGCCCTAAACCCTAAACCCTAAACCCTAAATGTTGTTTGCTTCCCAGGCTCGAAGGACAGGTTCAATTGCACCAAGTGGGCTCGCAGGGCTTAGGGCATAGGGCTTAGGGCTTGGGGTTTAGGGTTTTGTAGGGTTTTAGGGTTTAGGGGTTAGGATTTATGGGTTGGGGTTGGGGCTAGAGTGAAATTCGGAGCTCCTATCAAAACGCTATTTCATAGAACGTTCACCCAAAGCCCTAAACCGTAAGCCCTAAACCCTAAACCCTACACCCTAAACCCTAAACCCTAAACCCTAAACCCTAAACCCTAAACCCTAAACCCTAAACCCTAAACCCTAAACCCTAAACCCTAAACCCTAAGCCGTAGCCACCGAAAGAACCCCCGAGTCGCAAGGATGAGGCCCCGTAGGCCGGGATGAGCGAGCCAAGCACGGGCTTACAGGGGGTTTAGGGTTTAGGGTTTAGGGTTTAGGGTTTAGGGTTCTGGGGGCCCAGTGCTACCGTTTTGGCTCAGGGTAGTTATTGGGATGTTCCCCTTTATACTAGCAGTCCTTCATAGGGATTCTAGTACCCCTGCAACCCTAAACCCTAAACCCTAAACCCGAAAGTAAGGCCGGTCAGAAAAGGGGGAACATCCCAAGGTAGCATCGTCCCTTGAAAAAGGCCCCTTACCTCCTTTGAGAGTTCTGATGTATGGGCCCTTGGGTTGTCCAATTGGGGTATATGAGGGGTATATAAATGGGCCCATTCGAACTATGCATGGCTGTTGGGCTGCCAAGTAAGGGTTCCGGGGGTCCTACCCTAAGCAAGTAGTAGTTGCGGGATTATAATAGGTCCCTTTGGGATATTAAGTAGACTTAACAAAGTCAAGTGGGGGTTTCTGAAGTTTGGGCTATCTTTTTGGGGTCCTTCTTACAAGGGGATCCTAGTTTTGGGGATCTATATCGGGGGTCCCCATTGTCGTAAAATCCCATATAGGGTTGTTGCGTTTCAGGGGTGTAAGGTTCGGGGTTTCGGGTTTTCAGCTTTTGGGATTTTCACTGCTTAGGTTTAGGATTTTTAGGGTTTAGGGTCCAGGATTTAGGGCTTAGGGTTTGTGGTGGGTTCATGCTCTTTGTAAGCGAGCTTAGGACAAGCTTCCGAGGTCCGCTCGCTGCGCGTGGTGTCTGGGACACCGCAGATCGTTTTGGGTCTTTGCCGTGGCACCTACAACTACGGCGTGATGGGCATGGAGGTCGCCCGGCTTGGGGGTGAGGGTTCAGGGCTTCGGGCTTAGGGCTTATAGGGCTTAGGGCTTATAGGGCTCAGGGCTTAGGGGCTTAGGGCCTAGGGCTTCGGGCTTAGGGCTTAGGGCTTAGGGCAGGGCTTAGGGCTTAGGGCTTAGGGCTTCGGGCTTAGGGCTTAGGGTTCCCTAAACCCCTTAACCCGACACCCTAAGACCCTAAACCCTCAACTCCTACGCCGTGGAAGCCCTTAAAGTGGCGTTTTACCGGCTTGCAGCTACTTCTTATGAACCTCCTTCCTCAAGGAATCAAGTATCGTTGAGGGTGTTAGCAACTAATTATCGTTTAATTCCTCATGCGCATGCCCCTAAACCCTAAACCCTAAACCTTATAAACTTAAGACTTGAGAGCTCTCCACGGAACCCTGAGGTTCCCCTCGTACCCGGGTCCTCGCTTGCGTTCCTCAGATGAGTCTCCTCAGCCCAACACCTTTCGTAGCACCCCTTGTGGACCTCATGGTCCCGGAATGGGAGGGTTCTGAAAGTATGTGCCCTTGGGTTGTATAGGGGTTTATCAGGGATATGTAGGGGGTCCCCTTTTAAGGGCCCATACTAAGGGACTACGTAACCCTCCAAGCTGCCCCTCCTCTCAGCCAAGTCGCCCAACCTCTGTGTGGGCCCTCCCCCTTCCGCAGCCATAGAACGGTCAATACGTTCGTTTCGAACAGCCTGGCTGAGCGTAGTCGAGTGTAGCAGAGTGTAGTAGAGTGTAGAAGAGCGTAGTAGAGCGTAGTAGAGCGTATAGTAGAGTGTAGTAGAGTGTAGCAGAGCGTAGTACAGCGTAGTAGTGTAGTAGAGCGTAGTAGAGTGTAATAGAGCGTAGTAGAGTGTAGTGGAGTGTAGTAGAGTTCTATTACACTCTATTACGCTCTACTACGCTCTACTACGCTCTACTACACTCTACTACGCTCTACTACGCTCTACTACACTCTACTACATTCTATTACACTCTATTATGCTCTACTACGCTCTACTACGCTCTACTACGCTCTACTACGCTCCACTACACTCTACTGCGCTCTACTACGCTCTACTACGCTCTACTACACTCTACTACGCTCTGCTACGCTCTACTACGCTCTACTACACTCTACTACGCTCTACTACGCTCTACTACGTTCTAGCCCGGAACCCTAAACCCTAAACCCTGAACCCCAAACACTAAACCCTCTTAACTTAGGATATTTGGTGCTCAAGGGCCACGCAACAATAGAAGCTACAAGTCCAAATCCTGAACCCCAGAACCCTACTACGGGAGGCTAAGTTACCGGTATTCTCCCAGAAGCTACCCGAATTTAGGGTTTTAGGGTCCCAAACCCAAAACCATCCACACCAAGCCATAAACCCGAAATCCAACCTTTGAAGGTGACGAGCATTCGGGCCGCCCGAGGGGGCTGCTTGAATTTTCCAGGCTGGGAACAAGCGAGGCCCTAAACCCTGAACCCCAAACCCTAAACCTTAAATCCTGAACCCCCAAACTCAAAACTCGAAACCCCCCAGGCTCTAAACCCTAAAGCCCTATACTAAACGCGGTTTGGGGCACCACCCGGAAGCCTGACTCCGAACGCTCAACCCGAACGAAGTTTAGGGTTTAGGGTTTAGGGTTTAGGGTTTAGGGTTTAGGGTTTAGGGTTTAGGGTTTAGGGGACACACAGAAGACCAGAGGCGCCAACATCCGAACGAGCAGTATTCAGACGGGATTGAAGGGCGGAGGGTTGGGGTTTAGGGTTTAGGGTTTAGGGTTTAGGGTTTAGGGTTTAGGGTTTAGGGTTTAGGGTTTAGGGTTTAGGGTTTAGGGTTTAGGGTTATGGTTACTGTTTAGGGTGTCAGGGTTTAGGGGTTCTGGGTTCAGGGTTCAGGGCCCAGGGGTTTAGGGTTTAGGGTTAATTGATTGAGGCTTTAGGATTCAGGGCTCAGGGTTGAGGGTCTAGGCAAGGCTCTGCAGGTTTCTTGAACCCCCTAGACCTACATCTTCAACCTTGCAACACCAAGCCCTCAATGCAGACCCACAGACATGCCAAATGCTCCGACATGTCAAAACCCCGACACTCCGAGGCCCGTTTCCGCCTCCGAAGCTGCCCACTCTTTGGATGCGATGCTAACAGTCCTTAATCGGGATTATAATCATGGGGGGGGGGTACTATAATCTCGACTAAGGACTGTTAGTTATAATCCCTAAACGCCTCAGGCCTAAACCTTAAACCCTATAAACCCTAGCCTCAAGCAAGCGCTATCTAAACCCTAAACCTAAACCCTAAACCCTAAACCCCAAACCCTAAACCCTAAACCCGAAACCCTAACCCTAAACCCTAAACCTGACAGGTCACGGACCGGCCCACGCAGCTGCGCTCCCAACAGAGTTGGCAGAGCTCGCGGCAACGATGTTCCTCAAGGCCTTTGTTGGGGTATTGGGGTTTAGGATGTAAGGTATTGGGTTGGCTTAGACTTCAGGATGTAGGGTCCAGGGCTTAGGGTTTAGGGTTTAGGGTCTACTTCGGGTTTATAGGGCTTGGCGCTATTTTCATGGCTAATGTTGGACTCTGGTAGCGGGCCTCCCCTCGAAAGACGAGTTTGGCCAGGCCATTCAGGATCTGGCCGCTGTGGGGCTCGCGTCAAGATTTGTCCGGGCGTCGCAAGAACATTTCGTTTGGAGTGCTTCAATCTGACCAATTGCGCCCCTAAACCCTAAGCCCTAAACCCTAAACCCTAAACCCTAGGGGGAGGGGGGGAAGGCAGCAGGGGGGGAGGGCAGCAACCAAAAGAGGTCCAACAGTCATCTGGAGGTTGCTCAATAACCCGAAAACCCCCCCAAAACCCTGAATCCTACACCCTAAACCCCAAACCCCAAACCCTAAACCCTAAACCCTAAACCCTAGCCCTAAACCCTAAACCCGAAACTTCATAAAACCCTACACCCTCAGACGCAGAGTAAAGGCAGACCTGGCCCCCTTTGACGGCCAGCTGAATTCCACGGAGGCCGCGGCAGTTGGCCTGGGCCCCCTGGTGCCTCGGACGGACTAGGGTTTAGGGTTTAGGGTTCAGGGTGTGGCCACGTTCTTAGCGCGCGTCGTTGGCCCTATAGATCGGCTTTCACGGGCCCACTCCAACGCGCGCGTCGCGCGGCGGTACACCCACCCCAAAGCACCCGGCGTATAGCATTGTAGGGTTTCGGCCCCAGTGCTCTCATCCGCCGTGGGCCTGTTCCACGGCAGCCGCGCGGCTGTCTTAAAGCGTCCCGGTGGATGTTGGCACCGGGCCGCCCCGGCTTGACCTCGAGGTCAGCAAAGGCCGGGTGAGAGCCGGCTCCCGCTCAGGGCTGGCCCGCAGGAAAACGGGGCTTCCAAACCTAAACTGGTTTTTCGGCACGGGCGCAGGGGCGCCGGCAAAGTCTTTAAGTTCGTCTCGGTGGGACCGGCTGACAACCCGTTTGTGTGACGGGGCCGGGGCGCGGAGCATCCTGGCAGCATCGAGGGCGGCCCCACTTTGTTGTGCCGGGATGTCCGCTGAGAGCCCAAAAACCCCGGTCACCTTGAGCCAACCCCGAGACCCTCATACAGATAGGAGAGGAGCCACAAAAACCATGTCCCGCATGACATGCCAGAGTTGTGGCACAGGACGAGCGAAAGGCTTGAGAGACAACAGGTGCCATGGTGCAACAAGCCAACACCTTGCTCATGCGCTAAAGGGGGGGGGTGGGGCCTGGGGGAGGGGGGGGGGGGGGGGGGGGGGGGGGGGGGGGGGGGGGGGGGGGTGGTGGCGCCGGTGTGGGGTGCTTGGGTTTAGGGTTTGAATTTGACACTCAAAGGCTCGACCGCCTGGCGCGCACGGCTGTGTGCTCATCTTGCCAAGGCGTTCAGCAGCCACAGCTTTACCTGGGCTGCACGTGGCGTGTGGCCAGGTGGCTCGCTGAGCGCTCGGACGGCTTCGGGCTCTCACGTGGTGGTAGCGAGCCCTCAGCCGGACTTTAGGGTTTAGGGTTTAGGGTTTAGGGTTTAGGGTTTAATTAGGGCCAAGTTTAGGGTTTAGGGTTTAGGGTTTAGGGATGATAGTTCTTGACCCGCACATTTTGAGTGCCTTGGACGGACATTGGCTTGGTTTGGCTTAGGGCTTTGGGGTTTTAATTAGGGTTTTTTGGGTTTTGGTGTTTTAGGCTTCTAGTGGTTTAGGGTCTTAGGGTTTTGGGTGTTAGGGTTTTAGGGTGTTCGGGTTTTAGGGTTTCAGGGTCTTAGGGTCTTAGGGTTTAGTAAGATTTGGGGTTTCGAGTTTAAGGTTTAGGTTTTGGTCAGTTGGTGCCTTTGACGCGCTTTGCTTTGGTTCTGCGGGTTTGCTGCTACAATTTCCTCAAGCAGCCCCTCCCCCCCCCCCCCCAAACAAAAAACAAAGCAAAAACATTCAACCATCAAGAAGATTCTTTCTTGGAAGGGTAATATAGGGATTGGTGCCTTGGACGAGGTTTAGTTTGGCTTTGCTTAGGGGGTTTCGGGTTCTTAGGATTTCGATGCAGGGTTTAAGTAGTCTTTTAAAGGGTTTTCGGGTGTTAGGATTTGAAGGTTTTAGTTCTTAGGGTTTTAGGGTTGTATAATCTCCCATCCTGAGCAACAACTTCATCTCTACGGGTTTAGGGTTTAGGGTTTAGGGTTTAGGGTTCCATGGTCCCAAAATGTGGGCCATTACCTCCCTTTTTAAGGGTTCTGAAGTATGCGGGCCCTGGGCCCATACTAAGATACCCTATATAATCCCTACAGCCCGGAAAGCCCCGTAACCCCTAACCCTAAACCCTAAACCCTAAACCCTAAAACCTAAAACCTAAAACCTAAAACCTAAACCCCCAAAACCCCCCTAAACCCTAAACCTTTCAAGGCTTACACCATCCTACCCAGGTGCAGGCGGCGGATGAGAACCAGGACGGCGTTCTGAGCGTGGAGGAGTACGCCACGGTGCTGGCGCGCGATGCCGAGCGCCGAAGAGCACGAAAGGCGTGGCACCCAGATGAGTTTAGGGTTTAGGGTTTAGGGTTTAGGGTTTAGGGTTTAGGGTTTAGGGTTTAGGGTTTAGGGTTTAGGGTTCCGGGTTCAGGGTTTTAAGGGTTTACGAAAATAGGGGATCTCCAATATTGATCCCACATAGTAGGGTTTCCTTGTCATAAGGACCCCAATAAGGTGCTCCGAATTTCGGCAACCCCAGTTGGTTTACACCGAGCCGTCTTTTGAAACTTACGGGGGTTCTCCGAGGGGCACCTGAACAATGATCCGGACTTTGCCAAAATCCCTCAAAGTACCCTGATCGGTCACCACTAACGCCTTCTCTCTCTCAGCCCAGAAACCCTGATTGAGCACTAAACCCAAGTCGGCCCGCACCCTAAAGCCTGTACAACACACCCTGCGTGAACTCCCCGACTACTTCAACACTACTGCACACGAAGAAACCCTAAACCCTAAACCCTAAACCCTAAAACCCTAAAACCCAAGTACTTAAAATCCAGAGACGGCCATGTCCAGGTTGAACAAAGACGGTCCCAAGTCCCAGTGTCAGCATATGTCACCCGAAACCCTAGATTGGCCCCAAAAGCCCTAATGCCCTACCATCACACCCTAAACCCCAAGTAGAAAGGCCCCCAAAAGCCCTAACGTCCGACCGAGGCGACCCCATTCATGTCCGCGGAATCCATGGAGGAGGCCGCCAAGACTTGGGCCTTCGCCGCCGAGGCCGCCGTGGGCCACACTCCCGGTGCGGTGGATGGCGTGGCCGGCGCCCAGGAGCTCTTCAAGGAGGACTACGAAAAGGCGGCAGGGGGGTTTATCCCTAAACCCTAAACCCTAAACCCTAAACCCTAAACCCTAAACCCTAAACAGGGCACCCTTGCTATTCCTAGGTTACTCCTGGGTTCAGACTCGGAACCAGGCGAAGGTCGACCCAGCGGAGGGCGTGCCGACCACCACGCCGCCTCCCGAGCTCGACCCGATCCTTGGGGACCAAAAGGGGTTTAGGGTTTAGGGTTTAGGGTTTAGGGTTTAGGGTTTAGGGTTTAGGGTTTAGGGTTTAGGGTTTAGGGCGAAGATGAGCCTTGAAATTGGGGGTCATATACCCTATACTATGCTGTGATTCCCAAATCAAATTGAGGTCATATGCCTATACTACTATAATCGGTTTTTGTACCATAAACCCTTTTAGGGTCCCCTAAACTTGGGGTCATATACCCTATACTACTATGATTTCCTTAAAACCGATATTCCCTATTCATAAAGGTTTTTCTACCATAAACCCTTTTGGAGTTCATTTGGGTCTAGCCTATACTACTATAATCCCTGTTTAAGGTTTTGTACCCTAAACCCTAAACCCTAAACCCTAAACCCTAAACCCTAAACCCTAAACCCTAAACCCTAAACCCTAAACCCTTTTAGGGCTCTTTTGGGGGCCCTCCAGGCTGGGCAACCCCATCGTCTCCGGCGGCCCGAGCGAAGGCGACTTCGGGGACGTGCGGGACGCGTCGCCCGTAGAAGGAGCCTGCTGCTGGTTCGTAGGAAATGAGGGGTACCCTAGATAATCCCTTAAAGGGAATGTATGTATATATATATATATATATATATAGAGGGATACCCTATATAATCCCTTAAAGGGTATATATATAGAGGGATACCCTGTATAATCCCTTAAAGGGTATGTGTAGGGGGATAGAGGGTATTCCCTCATTCCCTACCAAGCAACAGGAGCCTACGACCCTCAGACCGGGAACATCATGCTCTGCGTGAATGGGAAACTTGGTAGGCCCGGATATTTCATAGTTTGAACCCTAGACCCTAAACCCAAAACCCTAAACCCTAAGAGGACCTAATTCATGAATATTTTTCAGAGGGTTTCATGGGCCATCCTAGGAAAGAGTTCCATGGAGGGTTCTGCTACGACTACTGCAACTTCGACTACCCGCTGGACATCCTGAACATGTGCTGGAAGGAGGATCGGAGGCTGAAAGCTCTCAACCGTTTATATAGACCGACAAATGTCAAGGCTGGTTGATATCCCCGAACCCTCAAATCTTCCCATATACTCACTCTGTTGTATATACATACATACAAAAAATATGTATATTTATTTATTTATCTATATACATATATGTGTTAACTATATATGTATATATTATACATATATAATACATATATAATACATATATAATACATATATAATACATATATAATACATATATAATACATAATTATATATAATCATGGCAGGCTAGTTAAGGGAATGAAAAGAGGACTGCCCCGACGGCTGGACGGAGATCGCTGGCGGCGTCTGCAAGACACCGGGCTGTTTTACGGGACCAACGCTTCCTATGTGTTGCAAGATGAGGGGTACAGCCTATAGATCTATATATATATATATATAGACATAGATATAAGTAGATGCATTCGGAGAGAGAGAGAGAGGCAGATACATAAGCTGATAACATATATATATATATATAGAGAGAGACATAGTATGTACACAAAGCCTGGCCCTAAACCCTTGACCATGTCGTTTTCTTTTAGTAACTCATCTTCCGGTCCTTCGTTCGCAGCCGAGGAAAGACGGATGGAACCTTGAAACCGAACTCATGGATCCTTGGCCATTTTGTTGGTTAAGGGTTTTAGGGTTGTAGGGCGTTGGTAAGGGTGTGAGGGTGTAGGATTCAAGGTGTCGGGTTTCGGTTTAGGGCTTTAGGGAGTTTGGGAGTTAAAGCCTTTGGGTGTTAAGGTTTAGGATTTGGGGTTCAGGGCCGTAGGACTTGGCTTTTGAGTTCGGGTTTCTGGAGCCAAAAAAGTGGTTGCTCCCAAACATGAGAAGTGGGCAATGAGCACTAGGTACAAAAAGTTCTTGTTTGGGAGCAAAGACTTCGTTTTGGGTTGCGTGGGCGCTTAGGTAGGAGTTAAAGCTGTAGTCAGGGATGCTGGACCCTAAACCCTAAACCCTAAACCCTAAACCCTAAACCAAAGGGGGGGAACTCTTTGAATAGGAATGCCTAGAACCAAAGTACCCAAACACCTGAAGCCCTACATTCCGTGCCTCTTTGCCTTTGCAAAAACCCCTGAATTAAGCCGATAACCCCTCCTGTCCACATAGAGCTGAATCAGAAGCCCTAAACCCTAAACCCTAATCCCTAAACCCGAAACCCTATAGCCCTAAAGTCGAAGTCCCCTCCTCCGCCATACATGCTTGATGTGGCTCTGGGCCGACGATCTTTGTACCCAAACGCTCTTTCTGGGACCGCTGGGCTCCTGTAAAGTAGTTCTAACATATTATGTTTGTATCTACAACCGTATTCAATTAACTTGTTTTTATCAATCTTTTTGAATATCTATGTGCTTGTTATTGATTTTGACACTGGGCTCCTGTAAAGTAGTTCTAACATATTATGTTTGTATCTACAACCGTATTCAATTAACTTGTTTTTATCAATCTTTTTGAATATCTATGTGCTTGTCATTGATTTTGACACTGGGCTCCTGTAAAGTAGTTCTAACATATTATGTTTGTATCTACAACCGTATGTATGATGCATGCTAGAAGTATAATATCAAGGGACTCGAGGAGAAACCATTAGACGGGACCTTTGGGGGGTGTTGAGGGGTTATCTATTCAGGGGCTACTCAGGTATAGAGGGACGGTTTAAGGTCTATGCAGGTGGTTAAAACGGGGAAGATGATTAGGGGTCCCTTCTAGGGGGAGTCCCTCCTTATACCCCTGAAGGTTATGTACACTCTAAACCCGAAACCCGAAACCCTACACCGTAAACCCCTACACCCTAAACCCTAAACCCGAAACCCGAATTCCTAAACCCTAAACCCTAAACCCTAAACCCTACAACCGCCCCTTTAGGAGAGCTACAACCGCGGCATGGGTGAGCTCCCGGAGTCCTGCACCGCGTCTGACTCTTCAGGGTTCAGTGGGTTTAGGGTTTGGGGTTTAGGGTTTAGGGTTTGGGGTTTGGGGTTTGGGGTTTGGGGTTTAGGGTTTAGGGTTTAGGGTACTTAGGGTACTTAGAGTATTTAGGGTATTTAGGGTATTGAGGGTACGGAGGGTAGTTAGGGTATTGATGGTATGGAGGGTATTTAGGGTATTTAGGGTATTGAGGGTATTGAGGGTATTTACGGTATTTACGGTATTTACGGTATTTAGGGTTTTAGTTTTTGGGTTTAGGGTTTAGGGTGTTTAGGGCATTTAGGTTATTGAGGGATTGGTTCAGTGGTTTTGGGTTTATAGGGTTTTAGGGTTTTGGTTTAAGGGTTTAGGTTTGCGACTCTTTAGGGATCAGTGGTTTTTGGTTTATGGGTTGTTTAGGGTTTTAGTTTTTGGGTTTTGGGTTTAGGGCTCTTTAGGGTTCATTGGTTTTGGGTTCATAGGTGTTTAGGGTTTTGTTTTTTGGGGTTTAGGGTTTAGGGTTCAGGGTTTAGGGTTTAGGGGTGTTTAGGGCTAAGTTTTTTTTTTTTTTTCCCAGGGCTCAGGTGTACCGGGGTTTACACGTTCAAACTCAATCCTAAACCCTATTCAAATACCCTACATTCCATTAACTCTAATCCTGGCAAACAGGAAAAAAGATGACCAAACCAAACGCTAAATACCCGAAACGCCCTAGACCCCCTAAACCCGAAACTTCCTAACCCCTAAACCCTAAACCTCCTAAACCCCCTTGGTGTGTTTCCCCATACGAAAACCCCCGTGATGGAAAGTAGTGTTGCAGCCGGATTTTCGACGGAAAGAATCTTTAAATGTGGAGGTATTAATGAGACAGATGGTCGGATTAAACCCTAATCCTAAACCCTCAACCTCCTAAACCCTAAACCCTAAACCCTACACCCTAAACCCTAAACCCTATCCCCTAAACCCTAAACCCTAAACCCTAAACCCTAAACCCTAAACCCTAAACCCTAAACCCTAAACCCTGAACCGCTAGCGTGCACGAAAGGCACCCTGGGCAGCTCTTTCGGCCCGGGCGACGCCATCGACGATGGGACCCGAGACTTTACGGCCGCCAGAAGCTGCACTAGGAAAGGTTAGCCTTTTTGGGGCTAGGGTATTCGGGCCCTAAAATAGGGTTTAGGGTTTAGGGTTTAGGGTTTAGGGTTTAGGGTAGAAAGTATATGTAACTAGCCATTGGGCCCTGAAGCCCCCTGATTCGAGCCGTTTGGCTTTTGTTAGAGGATTTCAAGCTGTGTGGATGGGGTCCTTTGTAAAGGGGTTGAGGGCCTAGGGTTTAGGGTTTCGGGTCGGGACTCCGCATTCAGGGAAGCCGCCGCGAAGGACTCAGGAGGTGTCAGGTTTCTTGTTATAGGTTCGGTTCGTCTGGGGTGGGTTCTTCACTCTCTCCAAGGCTGAGGAGTTTTTTTTTTTTTTTTTTTGGGGGGGCGGGGGGGGGGGGGGGTTTGGGTGTTGGTTTAGGGGGTTTGTGAATGGGTTGAAACGTTTCACGATGCCATTTCACAAACTGAGGTCGTGAAATCGAGGTTCCCTAAATCCCAAACCCGAAGCCCTAAACTCTAAATCTAAACCTTGGGATGTTCATACTAACAGTCCGTACTAGGAATTATAATTGGGGGGACTATATTTCCGAAGGGACTGTTACTATAAGGGGGAACATCTCAACCTTGGACACGTAAGGTTGTACCGGGTTTGGGGGCCCTTTTTAAGGAATACATAAGGGCCATATCAGGAGGATGTGCAGGGAACCTCTTATAGGGGTACATGCTTGGGGGTCCAAGTTCGATTTGCTTGACGAACATCCTCGCCCGAAGCTCCAGCGCAATCGAGTCTGCCCCGCGAGGGCTTTAGGGTTTAGGGATCCCTAAACCCTAAACCCTAAACCCTAAACCCTAAACCCTAAACCCGCCCCAAAACCCCTAAACCAGGTTGCATTTGTTTCCGACACGCAGCTGCCCTGGTGCAGCGGCGACTACAAGTCGGACGTTGATTGCGCCATTTTGGAGCCCCGGCTCAAAAGTGGGTTGAGGATTTGGGGTTTAGGGTTTAGGGTTTTGAGGGCTATCAGGGTTAGGGCGTGAGGGTCTATAGGGTGTAGGGTTTTGTGTGCTTGAGGGTTTATAGGGTGGAGTGTTCGGGCGAAAGGATTGAGGGTTTAGGGTTTAGGGATTTGGCTGCTGGACTGCTGAGTGGAGGGTTCGAACCCTAAACCCTAAACCGTAAACCCTCACCGGTTCGGAGTCTTTCCAATAGTCGCCCTAACTCCCTGGTGTTTCCCCAAAACTCCAAAATCCAAAAGACATAGAACTCTAAGCCCGGACCCAAAATCCCCAACTGCCCTAAACCCGCAAGCCCTATATTAGTATATATGTATATACAATAAATTGTATGTATATATAGAAATATTTTTGATAATATTCATTACTTGAATGATCCACTAAAAATGTTTTGATTACGCCGAGGAGAACTGGCGACTCATCCAGGGCCTCCACGCTGTGCAAAACCTTCGCTGGAGCACCGGCGGGGCGTTCAATGCGTCATCTGAGCAGGCGGTCAGGGCCCTAAACCCTAAACCCTAAACCCTAAACCCTAAACCCTAAACGGGTCTGTGTGGTTTAGGGGTCTTGGGCTGCTTTTCTTGGATCCCTAAACGCGAAACGTTCCCGAAAGTCATCAAAGGCTCGACATCTCATCTGCAGACCCCAGCCCTTGTCTGCGCCGAACAAAACCCTCTAAAACAGTTGGGTTCCTATACGTTTTGAGTTTGGGGTTTCGGGTTTAGAGTTTTTTGGCTCGGACTTTAGGGTTTAGGGTTGTGGGTCTCGGGTTCTTGGTTCAGGGTTCAGGGTACTCTTGGACTGCTGTCTTCGAGGGGCAGGGGGGGGGGGGGGGGTCCTTTGAGCTTCGCTGCAGGGGGGGATAATTTCGAACACCGAGTAACCCCTAAAACCCTAAACCCCTGAATTCCTAAACCCCTAAACGCCCTCCTCCCAACTCCTGGTAAAACCCTAAACCCTAAGCCCTAAGCCGGAAACCCTAAACTCCAAACCCTAAACCGTAAACCCTAAACCCTACACCCTAAACCCTAAACCCTAAACCCTCTAAGCTCTGGTAGGTGCAAGAGCCACTAGGGGTTTTCATCACTGGCGACCTCACAGCCTATGCCCACCCCTGGCAGCGTCTCGACCTTTCTGGAACTGAGGGCTTTAGGGCTCATTTGGGTCCCTAAACCCTAAACCCTAAACCCTAAACCCTAAACCCTTGTGAAATATCACCTAGTCAAGAGTGTAGAGTGCACAGCCGAGTTCACATCTCCTCTACTCCTGGACCCTTTCTTAGAGCCCAATCCCTTTCCCCCTAATAAAGGGAGACTACTTTATTAGGGGGACACTTTCTTTACATACTCCGCAAAAAGTGTGCTGCGCAGTTACTGCTCTTCTCCGATCCCACTCCAAAACCCTAAGCCCGGGATCTAGAAAGGTGGGTTGACCCAAAAGATGTGGGGTTGAAGGTGTCGGAGCTATAGGGCTAGAGACCCCCAAAAGGGCCTCTCATGTAGAACGACCCCCCCCCCCCCCGTCCTGCTGCAGGACTCTGTTGATTGTCTTAAGTCTGGGAAAAACTTTCGCGCGGCGAACTCAGGTACCATTTGTACCGGAAGATCTGGGAGACGCGAGAGGGCGAGGACCCCGTACTGATTCTTAGTAGGGTCACCATAAACCCTAAGAAGCCCTAAATGAACACAGGGATTCGGGTCATGGACTCTCTGGGCTTAAAGACTCTCTGGGCTTGAAGGGTTTCAGGGCTCGGGTTTATAGAGCCCCGTGTCTGGAGCGCACAACCTTCAACCCTAAACCCTGAACCTCGGCTTCAATGCTTCAAGCAATCGGCGGGTTCAGGGTTTATGGTCCCACCTTGACCCGCCTAGACGCTCTCCAAGTAACTACCCCTTTAGAAGAGAAAGAGCGCATACCCTAAACCCTATAAACCATTATATGAACTGAACTAGAAACTAAAGATTTTTCCCATGCGCTCGTTTTGTTTTTAATTTTTTCTGGCACGTAAAAAGTGGCTGAGATTTTGCAAAATATGGTACTTCTCGCATCTGCCTTCGCTCGGCAGTAGTCGACGAAAGGAAAACCACGGCAAGCATCTTCATCCGTTAGGAAGATAGACCCTGAGCCCCGAACCATGAAGCCTGAAGGTTCAGAGTAAGGGTTTAGGGTTTGGGGTTTAGGGTTTAGGGTTTAGGGTTTAGGGTTTAGGGTTTAGGGTTTGGGGTTTAGGGTTTAGGGATTGGGGCAGGCCCTGAAGCTTTGTGGTTGGGTCTCTGCTTTAGCGTACTTCGGGAAGTGTAGGGATCCCTCCACCCCCACGCTGGCATGTCAGCGGCCCTGAGCCCTAAGCCCTAAGCCCCTAAACCCTAAACCCTGAACCCTAAACGGGAGGATTCTGAGGCCAAGGGTATAGACTCTGCAGCCCAACATAACGATTGGGGCCCAGCCCGGCAGCCCACGCGCTAAACCCCACGGCTTAGGGCTTAGGGTTTAGGGTCGGAAAGACGCAGGACGCGAACAAGAACCTGAAGTTGAACGCATGGCCCGGCCTTGGAAACCATGACTATGCCAACAACCTCGGCAGCTGCCTGCGCCCGGGCTTCGCCGTTTTGCGTTCTTTTCTGGAAAGGGTGGTGGGGGGGTTGGAGCTTGGTCTTGCTTCTAGGGTTTAGAGTTTAAGGTTTCGGGAGGACTGGGGTCGGTGGGGCTTCGGCGTTGTTTTTTTCCCCGATGCCTTAGCCTCAAACCCTCAACCCTGAGACCCCCAAACCCCTAACTTGAACCCTAAACCCTAGGCCCTCAAGCGCCCAAACCCCGAACCCCCGACCCCCCGAACCCCCGACCCCCCGAGCCCCCCCCCCCCCCCCGCCCCGGAGCCCCAAGTTGGGGATAGCGCCTTAGGGAAAATGCGTTGCAGAACAAGGATTCCCAAATATAGTTTTTTTTGCAGTATATACATCGATATACACATGTATATACTTTATGGTATGTATGCATGTATGCATGCATGCATGTATGCATGCATATGTATGCATGTATCTCTGTATGTATGTATGTATGCATGCATGTATGTATGTATGCATGTATGTGTGTATGTATGTATGCATGTATGTATGTATGTATGTATGCATGTATGTGTGTGTATGTATGTAATGTAATGTAATGTAATGTAGTGTAGTGTAATGTAATGTAATGTAATGTAATGTAATGAATTGAATTGAAATGTAATGTAATGTAATGTACTGTAATGTAGTGTAATGTAATGTAATGTAATGTAATGTAATGTAATGCAATGTATGTAGCTATGTATATATATATATATTCATTTATTTATCTATTCATTTTTATATATTTATTTTTGTATTTATGAAAATTCCTTACTTAAGGAGTAAGCCCTGTTTCTTGGTACCTTATAGGCAATCAAAGTTACCCATTCTGCTTCCATGGCCGCTCTCTCATGGGCGTCTCGACCCATCCAACCCATCAACCCATAAACCCTAAACCCTCATCCTAAACCCTAATTAATCCTGAACCCTAGTCCCTAAACCCTCTTCGGGTTTTGGGGGAGTAGGCTCCCTCCCAGAACCTGAGATCTAACCTCGCGGCTGGGGGCGAGTAGAAATAGGAAGCCCCTATTTCAAAGAGTTTAGGGTTTCGGGCTCTCGGGGGTTTAGGAATCTAACTTCGAGCTACTCAGAGGGTTTAGGGTTTAGGGTTTAGGGTTTAGGGTTTAGGGTTTAGGGTTTAGGGCTCAGAACCATGTCGAGGTGGATTGTAGAAGAGCCGGTGTGGTCGGGCTACTGGCGGAGCTCGTGCGCGCAGCGCATGATCGGGTGCCTTGGGAAGCTGCGAGTGTTGTGGTTCAGGGCTTAGGTTGCTCAGGTTTAGGGTTTAGGGTTTAGGGTTTAGGGTTTAGGGTTTAGGGTTTAGGGTTTAGGGTTTAGGGTTTAGGGTTTTTAGACCCCTGGGGCTTGCCCCTCTTGCTTCGGCTGTATGCTTTGGGGTACCCTAGATGTCTGTCGTTGGCAGGCTGTGTGCTTTGGTTACCCCTCGATGTCTTCCTATGACAGGGTTGTATAACCCAACACCCGAAAGCCCAAACCCTGAACCCTCAACCCCAAGCCCGAACCCCTAAACCCTTTCGTGAGGCGAACTCGGGCTAAGCGTTGCTTTGACCAAGATCCGGTCCTACTTTCTAAACGGATCCCTTGTCAAAAGAACTCACCCAAAGGGACCCTGATCTAAACTTCAACGACCCCCTAACTCTGAACCCTACAAAGCCTACACCCTGGCCAGTAGACCCTGAACCCTGTATTAAACCTAAACCCTAAACCCTAAACCCTAAACCCTAAACCCTAAACCCTAAACCCTAAACCCTAAACCCTAAACCCTAAACCCTAAACCCTAAACCCTAAACCCCTCACTCCATTCAAGATACATCCGCTCGGCCGTGGCCGGATGCGACGGGCACACCGTGGTGAAGAACTTCGGAGGCCAGTCTTCCCTAGACCCGAAACGCTACACCGAATATCCTGCACCCTAAACCCTAAACCCTAAACCCTAAACCCTGAACCCTAAACCCTAAACCCTAAACCCTAAACCTTAAACCCTAAACCCTAAACCCTAAACCCTAAACCCTAAATCCTAAACCCTAAACCCTAAACCCTAAACCCTAAACCCTAACCCTAAACCCTAAACCCTAAACCCTAAACGCACCCTAAGCCCAAACCGTAGCACCTTGCAGTTCCATATTGAGCCCTTCCCAGATGAAATCACACCAATAATCAGGGAACCTATACTACTATCTGCTTAAGACCCCCCCCCCCCCCCAAAACATAAAAAACAACAGGCCCAAAATTGCCTGCATAAGGACGAATATATATATATATATATGTATCATTTTTTCGGGGTTTCCTAAGCCATTGGTAGTAAAGGCTGTTACAAGGCCCTACCTGGTTCAATGGCTTCAGATGAGAGGCTTTGTTGCAAGGTTCTGGGCACTGGGCGTTTAGGGTTTAGGGTTTACGGTGTAGGGGGGGTTTAGGCCTTTATGGCTTTGGGTTTGGGCTTACAAACGGACTTAGACTGAGAAAATCGCCCGATTTCTATGCTCTCGAAACTCTGGCCCCTTCTGACACAAAGGGCGTACTGGCGTCCAAACAAAGGGATGGAGGCTCGTTCGGGGCTTAGGGAGAACCTATGTGGAAACGAGAAACCCTAAAACCTGAACCCCAAAACCCCAAACCCTAAACCCTCAACCCTAAGCCCTAAAGGATCCCTCAAGGACCTGATCCTCCGGACCCCAGGCCTCCAAAAAGCCTTCAAAACCTGCCAAACATCCTAAAGCACTGAAGCCGCAAAACCCTCAGACCCTAGAACCCTAAACCCTCAAACCCTCAACCCTAAACCCCAAACCCTAAACCCAAAACCCCAAAACCTAAACCCTAAACCCTAAGCCTCCAAAACCCCCACAAAGCTGGCAGGGCACGTGGATCACTACGACTTCGACTCTGCCGCGTACACGGTGCGCCACGGCCGGATCCGCCCCTTCCCTGCACCCAATCTTGGGTTCGGGTACACCCTAAACCCCAAACCCTAAACCCTAAACCCCAAACCCCAAACCCTAAACCCCAAACCCTAAACCCTAAACTCTAAACCCCAAAACCCTAAACCCTAAACCTCTTCTCGGCCTCCTGTCCGCAGAGGGCCTTTAGATTTCAGCGCTCTGCGTCTAAACACTTTGAACTGCCCCCCCAAAACCCAAGCAGTCCTAGTCTTAAAGCCCGAATACTATACCCTTATGTAGACGCCTGAAGAAATGAAGCTCCGGTCCAAGCGTGTCCTCAAACATAAGGGTCCCAAGTTCAGAAGCGTGGTTTGGGGCTTTGCTTTTTTGCGGGGCCTGGGGCCATTGCTATTTCGTCATGGTTCACGGCCTAAAAGGGGGGGGTTCATACACGGCAAGTCATTTTCTTCTTGGCAAGGTCATAAGAATTTAGTTCCCAAGTTACCCTACTCACACAAACCCTGTACATCAAATTCCGACTTGTTGCTGGCTGAACCCTAAACCCTAAACCCTAAACCCTAAACCCTAAACCCTGGAAGCTGGCAAGGCTTCGTGCACCTTCACAACTATCCCACCTATCGTCGGGAGTTGCTCGCTGGGGTGGCTTCGACCATCCAGCTGCTTGGGAGCTTTCTGAAGCTGAGACTTTGGAGATTCCTAGAAGCCCCCCAAAAGCCCGCCTCATCCCTAACCCTAAACCCTAAGCCCTAAACCCTAAACCCTAGCCCTAAACCCTAAACCCGAATTGGGGGTTCGGGTCGAAAGCTGAGGGTTGTGCGTTTGGGCCTCTTTTCACATGCGCCGGGTTTTTGAAAGGGCTTGTGGTACCCTTGGCAGCCCGGTGGTGCCCTTTTGCTACTTATCTTTATGATAACATGGCCCCTTGGGTTTAGGGTTTAGGGTTTAGGGTTTAGGGTTTAGGGTTTAGGGTTTAGGGTTTAGGGGGCTACCAAGTGCCAGAGCCCACCGATTCCCTAAACGTGAAGTTGAGGACGCTGATGATTAGGGTACATGCCTCTTGCAGCTAGGCGCGGTAGCGCGCCGGACCTTGAACATCCCGGGGTGCGGGGTTTGGGGTCTACAGGGTTTTGGTCCAAACCCTAAACCCTAAACCCTAGACCCTAAACCCTAAACCCTAAACCCTAAACCCTAAACCCTAAACCCTAAACCCTAAACCCTAAACCCTAAACCCTAAACCCTAAACGTTTACTGGACTCATGGAGGCATCCTGAGCTTCGCTTCGAGGATCAGAGAAATACACAAGCAGCAGCATGCCAGAAGGATCCCAATGAGGAGGTGATTACAGCACGCACATGCGGGGCTCTTCTTGGGTGTCCGTCTCTGCAAGGAATGAGTCCACTGTAGAGATTTCTCAGAAGGCCC